GGGATGCGTCCTTATGCAGGACGGACAGGTCGTTGCGTACGCTTCACGTCAGCTTATGCCTCATGAGCAGAACTATCCTACGCACGACTTAGAGTTAGCCGCGGTCGTTCACGCCTTGAAGATCTGGCGTCATTATCTTTACGGCGGACGCTGCGAGATATTCACAGACCACAAGAGCCTACAGTATATATTCACGCAGAAGGAGCTTAATATGAGGCAGCGTCGTTGGCTCGAGTTGGTCAAGGATTATGATTGCTCCATCCAGTACCATCCGGGGAAGGCGAACGTCGTCGCAGATGCCCTAAGCCGAAAGGTGACGTGAGACTTGACGTACGTTATCACGCAGCAGAGTCCATTGATCCATGAGTTCGCCCGAATGCAGCTTCAGGCAATTGACGCACTCCCCATAGCTGTCTCGGGGAGCACTAGTGCCAGTGTCAGTGCTATGCAGCTCCAGCCGACACTGAGGGAGAGAATCCGGCGAGAGCAGGCTTCTGATGAGTTTGTACGTGTCATGGAGGCCAAGGTTCGCGCCGGAGGAGTACAGGATTTCCAGCTAGGCGCCGATGGTGCCTTGGAATTCAGAGGCAGGATCGTGGTCCCGAAGGCCGAGGCTTTGCGGAAGGAAATTCTATCAGAGGCACATACCGCACCTTACTTGGCCCATCCAGGGAGCACGAAGATGTACCACGACTTGAAGGGGTCGTTTTGGTGGAGAGGCATGAAGAAGGACATCGCAGAGTTCGTTAAGCGATGTCTTACCTGTCAGCAAGTCAAGGCCGAGCACCAGAGTCCGATTGGCCTCCTACAGCCACTACCGATTCCGCGGTGGAAGTGGGAGGAAGTTACTATGGATTTCGTTACGGGATTGCCGAGGTCAGCTGAACATCACGACGCTATCTGGGTCGTGGTCGACAGACTGACAAAGGTGGCGCACTTCTTACCCGTCTCGATGAGGATGTCTCTGGACAAGTTGGCTGAGATATATACCCGTGGGATCATCCGACTCCACGGAGTGCCCGTCACAATTGTATCAGACAGAGACCCCAGATTCGTTAGCCGATTCTGGCACAGCTTACATGAGGCGATGGGCACCAAGCTAAAGTTCAGTTCAGCCTACCATCCAGAGACAGATGGTCAGTCAGAGCGGACGATTCAGACACTCGAGGATATGCTTCGCGCCTTGGTTGTTGACAGGGATGCCAAGTGGGAGTCGCTGTTGCCGTACGCAGAGTTCGCGTATAACAACAGTTATCATTCCCCTATCCAGATGGCTCCTTACGAGGCACTTTACGGTCGCAAGTGTCGTTCCCCTCTTTATTGGGACGACGTTGGAGAGCGACGAGTACTCGGTCCTAAGATGATCGAGGAGACAGCTGAGCAGGTCGAGTTGATCAGGCAGAGACTCAAGGCAGCCCAGAGTCGACAGAAATCTTCCGCCGATCATCATCGACGAGATATCCAGTTTGAGGTTGGCGAGCACGCCTTTCTCAGAGTTCGCCCGGTTCGCGGAATTGTGCGATTCGGCAAGAGAGGGAAACTGCACCCTCGTTTCATCGGTCCGTTCGAGGTTCTCGAGCGAGTCGGCGAGGTCGCGTATCGTCTAGCCCTACCTCCCGAGTTATCAGGCATTCACAATGTGTTTCACGCATCTATGTTGCGTAAGTACGTGTGCGACCCCGATCATGTTATCCCTCACACAGATATTCAGGTTCAGCCAGACTTGTCGTACGAGGAGCGACCGGTAGCTGTACTCGACCGTCAGGTCCGTCGGCTCCGGAAGCGAGATATTCCCCTCATGCGCATTCAGTGGGATCGTCACGGAGCTACCTGGGAGGAAGAGTCAGACATTCGCGCTCGTTTCCCAGATTTCCAGTTCTGATGTATATATTTTGTATCTTATGTACATAGTTCATGTATAGTAGACGTATATTCAGCTATATTTTGAATTTCCGAGGACGGAAATTTTGTAAGGAGGGAGGATTGTAATATCCCGAGATATTAATAGGTATAAATTACGTTTAATTCCGATATAGTAACGTTAGCGTTTATTATTTTCGGAATTAATTAAGTTCAGTCGGATTACCAAAATCTATTTTCGGCGTACCGTTTACGTCCGAAATAATTTTGGTAATTAAGTAGCATGTTTAATTTAACAATTAAACATCATTTGAGTGATTAATTAACATTAATCACATTAATTAGTTTCAAACCCTAAAAAGCCGTACGCATTGGCCATATTTTCCCAAATTTTCAAGTTTAAAAACCGTGACAATTCTTAAGGATTTGGGAAGGATTTTAACCAATAGAATGGTGCAATTTGTCAACTAAAAAGCATGCTTAGTCACCACTAAATCAAGGAGCATCACACAAGTGTTGATTAGGTGTTAAGCCACATAGTATCACCATCATCACACCTCCACGGCCGAGGGTCTATATAAGCATGTCTTTGGAGAAATTTTGGCCACTTTTCCATATAGAACACCGAGAACTCCTTCAGCATACATCCTCCCTACCCTCAGCAACCAGATCGTCCAAATTCAAGCCAATTTTTCCTTAGTTCCATAGCTATCGCACGGCAAGGACAAGAAGCCACCGCACGGCGTTCACGCGAAGAGAAGTTATTCGTTAATTCCGATTTCCGTCGAGCGTTTCGAAAGGTAGTACTCTGTACAGTTGATAATCATAGTAATAGGTTCGGTTCAGAGTGAATTGCTTAGACTTTATTCGAGAATTTCACTTTAAACCGCAACCAATTTCAAGTATGCTTAAATATAGTAATCACCGAACAATCTTCCTTTTCTTCCGGCAAGTCACGAGTTATTATGTTCCTATCAGCATATATTTAAAGTAATAAGATCAGTTAAGTGTACTTGGTCGATGGAAAATCAATGATTGCCGGTGAATTGGCCAAAACCGTAGCTTGTGCCGATCGCACGCGGCTACGGACGGCCATGAGGCATGAGTTCGTAAACTGAGCATGAGCCATGAGCATTTAGTGTTTATTTAGCCTTAATTCAGTTAATCATGTTCAGTTATTTGAGAGTTGTCGGGGAAAAATGGAGTTTTGCCATGAAAGACCCCGGCCGGCACCCCCGCGCCTATCGCGCGTAGCCTCGGGTCGCCGTGGGCCTAGGCAAGCTGTTTAGTCTTGATCAGTTTTCCTCGTGTGATTAAGTTTTAATTTAATTCAGTATATTTATCATGTGATCAGACTCTGAAGTTGTCGAGTAGAATCACTCTTTGGCCGAGAAATGACCGAGGCCGTAGGCATCGCGTGTTGCGAGCGCGCCACGGCCGGAGGTCCGGTTCATTGAGTTAAATTCAGCCATTTCATGTTAAGTTCAGCTAAATAATTATTTTAAGTCTTAGCATGTTAATATAAGTTAGAATGGTCGGAGTGAATTGCCGAACGGTCGACAAGGCGTCGACCGTGGCCGCGCTGCCGCACACAGCGGCAGCAACGCC